GTACCAAATAACAACTGAGAGAGTATCTGTTCCCAGTATTGTTGAGCGCCTATTAACAATTTAATTAAATCTGAGAGTTTGGGAGATTCGCAACAAATATAAAAAAGTGGCCTTGATTAGGACACGATGGAAAAAAATATTCCTACATGGTTTACCTTCGACAATCAATTTCAGTATAACTTTTTTTTTCCGCTGTCCTCGACAATTTGTTTTCTAACAATCTATCTCTAAACTAATTTCCAGCTTATTTTCACAAGACACGAAACCACTTTCGCGGATGGTCAGTGTACCCTTACTAGTTTAGTCCGGATAAAGAAAATACATATTTACTCGCAAGTGCACATTTTTTCGCGTACTAATGTGTGTGCAGGAAATTTAGAAATGCATAAGTCTGCGGGACCACACAAACTCTATTGTTTTTCAATTTGTTGAACACTGGAATAAATGGAATACAAACTTCACTTTACATACTTAGTTTACAATATATATATATATTTTTTTTTAGAAACACTAGCATCTACGCAAAAGCAAAATTATAAAGAGCAGACGACGCTCATATTCTACGCAACGCTACAGTGACCCGATGCGCCTTGTGTTGTATCTCTTCGTCTTAGCCCTTGTCCTTTGCGGCGCTTTTACATTTCAAAACAATGAATCAACTGCCTTAACTACCTACTTTGCTGCAGTTATTTATTAAATTTCATCGTCTGCAGTTGCACTGCTTTAGCTCAATTACAATTAGCAAGTAACCTAATTTAGTGATCATGGTTCACCAAGTTTTTTTGTTTTCTTTAAAGTTATTTTTCTTCTTTTCGTCTTTTCGCCTGCGGGGTTCGTTGTGTTCGCATCGTTCGCTTCCTCCAGACATTTTTTTTTCTTAATCTGATGTTTAGTGACAGATGAAGATCGTTCGCACAACATGACGACTGTTGGCCGGAATCCCTGGCATATACATCTCGGCATAGAGTGCGGACCGCTGCGGCGCGGGACTAGCGCATTATTCGGAGAGCGTCACCGCGCATTCCATTTATCAGCATCTAGAGAAAGTATGATATATCGGATGGCGCCGTACACGCCACCTGGTATGTGTCGCGCCTTGCTCCTCGGCTCGTAGATCCATATTGAAATTCAAACTCGGTGATAAGGCTGATGGCCTTTCAAAAGGCCCGGAAAGCCCTCGCGCCGATATGTCAGCCGCGAATCCAAGAAAAAAACACAACAAAAGGGAGTAAAAAAAAAAATGTACATTTTGTAGGGATGGCGAGAGGTTCGGGAACAAACGCGTTTTCGTAAAAGAGGCGTAAGGACATTTCTCATTTTCGTTTTATTTCTTATTTTTTGTCGTAATAAAAACAGCACGTTTCTAAAGATAAATTAGTCACAATTCAGATTCCGCGTGGGTTCTCCTTTCGGGCATGTATTTTTTTATTAAACAGAGTTCGAGGTAGGCAAGGTTCGTTTACGGCCGGCTTCGTTCATATCGCTCTCGTCAACCTTTCTCGCACTGATTTAGATAGTACCTTATATTAATATTCTAAAGACGGAGTAGACGCAAAGCTATAGCTGCCTCTGCCTCTAGTAACGGTTCCTTCGAAGATTGAGTAGAGACAAAGGCAGCTTTAGGTCTACCCACTAATCACTCCAATCAGAGCTCGGCGTTCTGACGTCTCCGCGCGCTCTCTTCTCCTCCTCTCCTCAGTTTCTACCCGTATAAGATGGCAGATGCATTTGCTCCTCCAGCAACCGTCGTAAGCAAAAGGCCAAAAACGCAAAAAAAGTCTACAGCGAGTTTGCTCTTTTTGCACAACGCGTACACAGCCAATTACTGTGAACAGCAGAAGGATCCCAGCATGGGCGTACCAACCGGGGGGGGGGGGGGGGGGGGCAAGGGGGGCGCTTGCCTCCCCCCCCCATTTCTCAGAGTGGGGGGGGCAAGGCATGTGTCCCCCCCCCATGAAACAGCCGCCCCTGGACAGGGCAAACACTGGCCGGCGGTGCCCAAGGGATACCTAGAGGACCGCCCCCGGCCCTAGGGGGGGGGGGGTCTGGATTGCCCCCCCCCCCACTCAAAAGCAAGTTGGTACGCCGCTGGATCCCAGCCAATGATGCAACACATAATGAAAATATATATATAAAAAACAACGATGTGCGCAGAGACAATGAGCGAAGTGAATCGTCGAGCTCACTGTCCCTGCGCACATCATATTCGTGATTTTTTTTTCTAAGCGATTTCGAGCTTCGTCATTCACTGAGACCCTCCTTCAACTGTTCGCAGTGATTGGCTGTCTTCGTTTTCTGCAGGAAAGTGAACTCGCAAACTTTTTTTGGGGTGCACGGTTTTGTCTATGATCACAGAATGCATAAGAAGAGTAAAACACAGCAAGGTCCGAGGCTTTTTTTTTGTCACTCGACAAGCGTCACGGCATTAGCCTAGAGGAATTCCGAAGAGCGAATCACTAAGTAAAAAACCTAAGCATAACAAGGTGACTGTGAGAACTTTCTTAGATCTGATTTTTATCTTTTATGATCATTTCTTTGCTGCTAGTTAAACGCATTGAAAAGCTGTTTTTTTTTTTCTCTGCTTTTTTTTACTTCGGTCGTAGTGAAGCTTGGAAAAAAGTATAGTGGTTAACGTTAAATAGTTATTGACCCAGTTTAAGAAACGCAGGACATCGCTTATGTTCCTCACTCCTCTTGCTTCGTGATTGGCTGTTCGGCGCTCGTATCTGTTAATGCCGCTATCACCATTGGTCGCGGACTGGTAAGCTGCTCCAGACTCAACACGCCCTCTATTTCTTACGCTGTATGCGACTACGGCCTGCTGCAACGTAAGACTCGCGGGACACTTTCCGCCCCCTAACTGAAAGAGGAATATCTGTTACTGCGCCAAATGTATTTATATATTCATGGTAGCGCTTGATAGAATATGCAATGAATTACAGGTCAATAGTATGTAGACTTAAATGAAAGAAATAGAACAGTCGCAAAGTAATGCTGTTAATTTTAGAGGTTTCAAACATAGATTACGCTCGAAATGCTTGTTTTCCGTATCTGCTGAGATAAAAAAAAAAAAAAAAATTGCCATAAATGAACAATATTTGCCAGCAAGGTTCAGGGGCACAATTTAGCCTAAATTGAGGTGAGCATTGCACCTCGGTAAATTTTATTGCATATACACTCTAAAAAAAGCCCGTTCGTCTACTTTCCCGCACAACACTCGGAGAGCCAATCACCACAACTTACGGAGGCAGCTCAGCGTATGACGATGCCGAAACATATGTTTAGACCAAAAAACGCAGTCTGAGTGTGAGATTAAGCAATACAAGCGTGACTCAATGTCACAACTCAGTCTGCGTTTTTTGGTATAAACATATGTTTCGGCATTGTCATTCGCTGAGCTGCCTCCGTAAGTTGCGGTGATTGGCTCTCCGAGGGGTTTGCGAGAAAGTAGACGCACGGGCTTTTTTTTTTTTTTTTTAGAGTGTTAGACTTCAATATAGCTTAAGTCTAGACGCAGACGACGCTACGAGCTCATGGGACCAATCAAGCAACGTTAAAAGCGCAAGTCACTGGGCCTTTTTCGTTTACGATTGGTTCAGAGATGAAACAACACTTACAGAAACATGGCGAACACCATGACGGCGCGCTTTTTGCGCTGTCTGATTGATTGGTACTATCAGCCTGTAGCGTTGGTGGCGTCTGGACTTAAAGTGAAACAAAGTATAGTAGCACGGCGGTGTAATTTACCATCTGTAACATTGCGCGTTGGTTTAAATGGGCTCGCCGTTGCACGTGTTAGCGCTACAGGGTCATGGCTGCACTGCGCGGGATTGTTTCCGAACAAAGTGAAAAAACGCAGGCAAGCTGGTAAATTGACTCCATAATGAAAACCCGAGGCTGAATTTTCCTTTTGGTTTGCGACGGTGTGCTTGGTTAACCTTTTTTTTTTATATTTATTTTCAGTCTCGGGTTTTTATGATGGAGATGTTTTCGAAGGATGGAAAAGAGCCAATTAATGGGTCCCATTAAACTTTCGTCGTCTTGCACATCCAGCGGATTATCCTCAAGCCGCGGAGGAAGGAGGTTGATTTGCTCTTAACAGCAGAGAGTAACCATTTATATTTCTAAAATATAATTTTACAAACATGCAAAGTATACTTCAGCTTTTGAGGTGTAACTTTACGCCCCTCTGGTAAAAGGCCAGGTGTGTCTTTTCTACTCAGCTCCCCTGAGGGGCATATGGATGCGATTCGTACGGAGCATTTGCAGAAAATGACGACAACGTAATATGTGGAGAATAAACATCCCATTTAACTTGCAACGTCTCACTTCACCGATTGCTTTTCCAGAACCAATCACTTTTGGCGCCTGATCATTCGCTGAAATTGCTCTGGAGGTAGCAGTGATCGGTCATCTGTTTGGTTTGTGAGTAAGCAGAACAAATACATCAGATATATTTAAGGCTTATGAATGTTCCCCAAACAGATGCCGATTTTGAGACATTTCAGCCGTCAGCTCGCCAATTCAGGTAGATATATATGTCACATCTGGAACGACACTATGGACTTCCAAGGGCCCACCATAGGGAACTTTACCAGGACTACGTATGAGTGCTTAGTACATGCATCATACCACTATAGCCACTGGCATGATGAAAACCACTAAGAAATCTTTCAGTTGTCCCGTTCCCAGCGCCAACTTTCTACCTTCGGTAACACTTTAACATCTCGAGCGTGGGCTTCGAGTGTGCGAACGCATCCAGAGCGCACGAGAAGGCAACGAGCTTGTGCTGGACGACGGGCATTCGAAAAAGACGCTTGCTGTTTTCATCCTCTTTGTTACAATATCCCGGTATGCTTTTGAGGGACCCTGTGCCCGTGCTCCTTTTCGTCATTTTGTGGGGCGACGCCCTTCGCTTGCGCGTCTTCGACTGCCGCGTTGCTGCCGCTGCTGCACGGCTTGTCCCAGACTGGCACGGCGCTGTGGTTTCCTCCCCCCAGGACGACATCCATGTCCTTCGTGCGCAAGAACAGCGTCAACGCCTCAGAGAACGACACCGGGTCTCCACCCCCGGCCCACGAAACCTCGGACCTGGGACCCCTAAGCAACGTCAGGTATATGTTCTTTTCGCATTTTAAAGCACGCATTTCTTCCGTACTGCTAAAGACAAAAAGAAAAAAAAAAGCGTTTGATGAAGCCTTTTGAAAACGGCAGCTACCGCAAAGTTGGCGAGCTACCAAGTAGGAGTAGTAGTAAGCGTTGTAAGGAAAGGGGGAGGAGGGGGGGGAGGGTCAATGGTGTACGCTCGCTGGGCGCATTTGTCACTGACACTCAGGGAATAGGGAGGTATAGGGGGGTAGCTACCAAGTTGATTACGCCTCCCGGTTCGGCTGCATTGTGGCGTCTTGTGAAAGCCACTCCACCGCGTCGCGTGTCAACGCAGTTCTCGCTCCAGCTGCGTTGCCTGCAGCGCCGGAAATACTTACCTCTTAACTCAGTATTGCAGTGACGTCTTTGATGTAAACATTTCGTGCCTTAGACCTAACTCTTGGGCTCCGTTTCTTTCAAATGCGTGAGTTCAATTCACGTACCGTAGATCGAAGTGAAAAGCCCTCTACTTGCTCGGCGGGAAGAGACAGGCACACACCCGAATTTTGTAGTTAAGTATGTAGAAATTCACCATGAGTTCAGGAACGTCAAGATTGCACTCTTCTCACAATTTCTGTGAATACTATGCCATTACTACATTAGTCAATAAGAAAGTTCAACAACTGACCGTGTAGTAGAAAGCCCAATATTACCTAGATATAACCTGATTCTGACAATAGCTAAGCATACTATAAAATTCAATTCGCCACGGGACATTGTGCTGATGCTGTTGATGCAAAAGGCTCTTCAAATTAAGTTTGGCATTAGCGACAGAAGTTTCACAGAAAATGCTGTAGAGCGATCTTCTGAAACATCTGACTACCCTAAATAAAACTTTGAACAAAACCTCTTGCACATGCAGTGCACCCGGCGTTCGTGAGAACAAGAAACCCTGTGTTTCGGGTCCGCCTAAATAAACTTTGCATCGCAGAAAGCTCTAAATTCATGAGAATCTGACGCTAGCGGTTGGAATACAATCCGAAAGTTTGAGGGCATGACGCTACCTGGATCAAAGTTAATTGAAAAAGATGAAATTTCACTATGAGCCCACATAAACCTAATGTTAAAACAAGAACAGAGATTGCGGACACATATTGCATTTATATCAGTAAAAAACGCTTTCCAGCAACAAAAAAAAAAAAGGGGGGGGGGGGGGAGGGGGGGGAAGGAGCATATTGTGTTTTCTTTGGTGACACGTTCTTTTCCCTGGAATATATGCTTCACCCACCCACAGTGTCATTTCTTGTTTGACGATGTTAGGCTTAGGTTGACGTAGGCTTATGGAAAACGCTTCATCGTTCACAATTATCTTTTGATCCAAATAACGTCGTGTTCTCAAACTTTCGTGTTCTATACAAATCGTTAGCATTATGTTCTTCAAGGGTTTTAGCTTTCTGCTATGAGTAATTTATTTACGCTAGCCGAAAAACGCGGTTCCCTTTTCTCACGCACGCCCGGTACATCACAGCTGGCTCCTGGACAAAACATCCGACTTGTAACCAGAATTTTCATTAAGCGTCACGAAATTGAAAGTCAAGGATACATTGAAATCAAATTATCCCGTGTACATTTTTAGAAACGTCCGTGCGTATCTCAGAACGTTCCGAAATTCATTCACTGCGACCTACGAAAATACGTCGGCGAATGATGTGGCCGAAATAGCGTCTGTGCGTAGAAATGGGGTAGTCTGCGAGGGAACATTGAGCGCTGCGTACACGTGGTCTCGTTGGGCCCAGTGTCACCTCACAGATATCATTGATAGGTATAGCATAAGCCTTCGGCTTAATGATCTGCCGAAGGTCCTTGCGTAGATTGTAGTTATTAGGGAGCTTTCGTAGATCGTTTTCGCCGTCCCGCAAGGCCCTCCACAACCCGCTACGATAGCGGGAACCCCACAGTCAAGGCTATCGGCGCGCAGGCGCAGTAAGAACTTCGTTGCGGAACGCTTAGCGGAGGGGGCGGCGCGATCTACGAAAACTCCCTATTGGGGAGTTTTCGTATACCGTTCTCGTCGTCCCGCAACGCTCCCCGCAACCCGCTACGATACACGGAACTTTAGAGCGAAGGCCATCAGCGCGCAGGCGCAGGAGCGGATTGCTCGGTGCGGGGGGTTCAGCGGAGGGGGAAACGCGGTCTACGAAAACTCCCTATTGGCTCTCCGTGCGCTCCGATAGAAAGTCGATACTATTAAAGTAAGAGTGGTTGTTGTATCGGGGCCCGCCAAAAAGCTTAACTTTTGCGAATGCTCAAAGTTTGTTACGACAATACTTCATAATGCATTTAATTAGTGGAACGAGCGGAACGAAGCATAAAGTTGAAGCATGACTTGGATGCGTAATTATCCAAACAGATGTTGACAATCGCACACGCCGTTCTGAAGGAGCAGTACGTGTGTACCTTTTGAATTTTGAAAATATTTTTTTTTGTACGCTTTTTGGAACGATTTGGTAACGACCACTATAAAATCAAGTGGCAGCCGGCAATCACTGTGCTTCCCGAGATTGCGTTGTGGATAGAAGAAACGTGCAAACAACTGCGCCATCCGAATCTGAGAAACAACGTTTGGCTCTTAACCTCTTAAGCGTAGCCGTAACTTTAATTCGATGCCCGGTGATTGCGCGCTCCGTTTACGGAGCCGGCAGTAATCCGCACTAGGAACTCCTATCAAATCGGTAGAAGGCTTCTCGACTTGCACGAACTCAGCACAGTCGACTCAAGAGCGCGAAATGTACTGTAATTTACAACACTAGGGTTAGAGGTAAATCAAACACAAATGTTCCGTTGAAACGGATGTAAAATAAAGGGAAGTATTCAAGAGACGTCATATTGTTTGCTGCTGTTCGCAGCGCGTGCTGCGAACAGCAACATTCTAATATTTACTCTATTCTAATATTTGTTTGTATGTGTAGTCAGCTATAAAATAAAAAAGTTCTGTTTTATTAAGGATATGTATTGTGTTCTATGGTCCAGTATGTTCGTTTCTCGTGGAAATACACCATTAGTGTATGTACCTCCTCACAAAAATTATTTCAGGCCATATATAGAAATCCTTCAGATATTTTAACGACTCGTTCAACTTCCTATCCAGTTATATCGTATCGACAATTTTCAATCGATTTTTTATAGACTTGCTTTCAAACGAAATCTACAAAGTACACACAATAGAAATGCTATAACTTTTCTATCTAAACATCCCGATAAACTTTTTATCACCATATTTCTTATAGAACGTCTATCGACTAGACTGATAAAATAACAAGGTGCAGTGCGAAAAGCGACATCACACCCAGTCGGACCCTCCTTGCGGAGGCTGCATTTCTCGACTCTCAAATAATTATCGCTTCTTGCTATGCTTCATAGTTGGAAATACAGTTTGCCAACCCTTATAAACCATATCTAGTGTAAGTTATTGTCGAGAAGAAAAGCGACATACTCGTAATCTTTTTATCTTCTGAGATGGTTCTAGTTCGAATGATTGCCTTTCGAGTGTAGGGTAATATGGCTGGGGACAAGTCCACACTACTAACTTTCCACCGTAATATCCCAAGAGATCGCCCACCTGAAATTGAAAGCAAATCTTTTGTGAAAATAAGAAGTAAGCTAACTTTCGGTGAGCGATCAAATAGAGTTTAAAAATGCAAGTTTCAGGTTCTGGGGGCGATGAAGCAAAAGACGACTGTCCTCCTCAGTCAGCAATGTTGCGTTAATTGCATTATCATCATAACCTTAAAATGCAGGCTGTTCACCCTTGTCGATGTTAGACCGGTGTCGCCTGCTGAAATCCGTTTGCTCTAGTGACGTCTAGCTCCTGGCTAGCTAGTTGATAGAGCGCTCCACTGGAAATGCAGACGTCCTTTCTTCGATACCAGGACCAGGCGGATCGTTTCAGTCGCGCACCAGTCAACTATAGCTGTGCTTCAAGATCTCTGTTTGTCCTTTGTCCCCCTTGTTTCCCTTCTCCGGGGATTATTATTGTTATTCTTGTCCAGCTCGATTGCACCGTTTCATTAATTGCATTATCACGATAACGTTCAACATTTATATTTCACTCATGTTAATTACAACTAAACTTAAACGCTGTAACATAAAAAAATTCACATAGATGCATGTATACGTAGTACACTATTCCCCGTTTCAGAAGTTATGTTACATGAACGTTTATCTTAGAGACCGAGATTTTTTTGCCGTTTCATTACATAATCAAAATGGAGCGAGCTAGACTTATTTTCCGCTCAATCGTCAGAGAAACTTTAGGAGATTAGACGTCGAACCATCTAGTCAACTGCGATACGTATCGCTCAGTGCATGGCTCGAACATTAGACATCTGCTCCTTGAACTTTTATATAACCTAGTTATTTGGACAAATATTTAATGGCTTAAATTATAGTGTTATATATAACTTCATTTCATCTCCATTTCTCCATTCAATCGCCTAACGAAGATTTCAAAGTCAAGTCTGAGGATAAAACAAAAATACTAATACAACAACGACTTGTACACCGTATACTTTTCATTATTCGATGATGGGGAATTCCTGTTTTACTTACTAATTTTAACATGCTATCACGTTTTTTTTTGTTTTTTTTTTTACTTTTCTTTGTAGAAAGGAAAATAAACCACAATTCGGCTTCCCCAACCTTTTCGGAAGTTGGTGGGGCCGCGTTCTTTGCACCGTCTGGTTGGAGTCGACCCTGTACGTCTTTTGTGAAATAATTACTCCATCCCTCTGGTCTTGTCTTATACAATTCCCTTTGTTACTCTCTCACTTGCCGTCAGTTCCCTTAGAGCAGGATCAGTGGCACATACGTTGAATCTATTATTCTAATGAGAGACAGATATATCCCATTCTCCCAATAGGGTTTCGGGCAAAAAAAAAAAGCTGCCCGAAACCCTGGCTGTGCGTTGCGCCTCTGCCCTGCAATTGGCCTAACTTATTCAAACTCATTTCCAAATGCGAGGAGTGTTGTCCGCTTTTTTCTATTCAGCCCTCCGGGATTACAAAGATTGTTTCGTTATATTTGGTTTTTATTTCTTATTTTGTGTGTGTGCGTCTTTCCGCACGTAGTTCGTCGTCCTCGGATCCTTTGACACTCCATCCCTGTGACGGCAAGGATTGAATCTTTCGTTCATTGCGCGCATTAGCGGGACGAGACCGTGAATGATGCAATGCATCTAATTATCTAATAAACCTCGCCTGGAAACACTGTTACGGTTCCGGCGGAATCGGCGCGCAGGCCCGCGGAAGTGAGGGAAACAGCACTGTTTGAATATGTATACGTCGCTGAAGAGTTTCTTAGGATCCCAGAATTTTGGGTTTACATAGTTTTTCGCGCATTAAATTGATGATTGGTCGTATTTGCCACGGGGTTAGGTCTCGGCGAAATTCGGTAATCACGTCGTTGACCTCCGGGTTGTGCACGCGTCTACCGATTTGGGTCATTCATTAGTTCATATGTTCTAATTAGATTGCCGTGAGAATATAGGCTTATTCACACACTTGCGGCTGCTTACGACCTTGTGCGTTACGGCCTCTTGTGATCTCGCACAACAGGAGAACACACTGGCGCCAGCTATGGGGTAGCCGTGTAACTCTCGCAATTTCCGTTTGCTTAGCTATTTTTCCCCCATCAATCTTTCATTATTGGCTAAAAAAAAAAACTTCTGACAGTGTTATAAACGACAATTTCTAATAGATACCGCGTACATTTGACCTCAGAAATACTGCAAAACCTTCTCTCTAGTGAGATGCAGTTCGAGTGCCACCTCATAGATAGTGCAAACGTTCCAGACTGTTCTCCCGCCGTAAGATACATCCCAACAGGTTGTAACGCAGTCGGTCATAAGCAGTCTCAAGTGAGTGAACCAGTCTTAACTATTCGTAAAACACACGGAGTTACGGCCGCTAAGGGCTGAGGGGCGATTCTGGTGGATGACGAGGTCGATCACGATGCTTGCAATGTAGCTGTGAGTGTGTGAAACATCATGTTCAGTGTAACTTGGTGGACTTCGTTTTAAGTAATTTTTTTAATAGATCCGTCAGTTATCTCCGCAGGTCAAAGTAATGGACCCTATAGACTATAAAGTACTCTGCAAAAAATCGGATGAACGCGCAGTTTTCACTCACAGTCAAACTCGGTCTCGTAACAATCTGTAACAACTCACGAGTTTTCAACTCTAATTATTAATGCGTTGGACTAGGTTGATTTGAACAATAAGGTTGCTCTGACTGCGATGGCATCAGTGTTTGGGCTTGTGACTCCTCGCGGTCTTCGCGACAAGATTTTAATCAAATTAAATATACCATTAGATCGTCCAGTCTAGAGTAGGAGTTAAGATAAAATGCTGGAGCTGTAATATGAATAGTGCACAGTGAACATGACAGTTACCATTTGCCTTTTCGACTGTGCCTCGTATTATTTCAATTTCGTGCGCTATGTTGCAGAAGGGGCAGTCAAAACTGTCACTATTCCAAACCGCGCGGGCGGGCCAATCGCACATGAAAACCAATTATTCGACTGCCATAACAAAAATGGCTGTTGATAGAAGAACAGAGACAAAAAGATATGCCCGTTGTATCAGGGCACTTAATCCTATTTCAGCACTTATCAGAGCGCGTTGTTAAGCTAGGCTACATCTGATACGCATGCACAATTGGCAAAATTAACGAATGTACTGTTTTATGTTGCCAAAAACGAATACGTGATAAGACATGATTTTACTTATTAAAAACCATTCTCACCATACAGACAAAGCTCTAGGCCCGTATCTACATAGATGAAGGATAAGTACATGGACGGAATTCTTGTCAATATGCTAATTCAAACTTTAGGTAATTTCGTCAACCTCTCGTAGTGAATAAGAATAGGACTAAATGGCCAGCAGTGGCTAAAGGCCGGACGTGACAAGTACCGAACCTCTTGAGTGCGGCATGAGCTAAAAAGCACGCCGAAGAACGAGCCCCGAAGCAAGAAGTGTGATCATAACAGGACACAACCCTGCGTGTTTTAAGCTGCCCCAGACTGTAATCAGCACAGAGTTCATCTGCGTCTCGACTTTGATCTGGTTTCCCGTATCGGCCACAGATTCGCGGTGTTCGGGCTCGGCTCGAGCGCGTACCCCAACTTCTGCGCGTACGGCAAGTACGTGGACAAGATCTTGGCCGACTTGGGCGGCGAGCGCATCTGCAAGCTCACCACGGGAGACGAGCTGCGAGGCCAGGAGCAGTCCTTCCGGCAATGGGCCAAGAGCGTCTTCGAGGTACATACTTTCCTGTACTATCACGCCTAAGTTGACCTGTGCGTGTGGAAGCTACGCGGTCCCCGGACCGATCGTCCGGCTCCCCATCGTCGCGTGACCCCGCTCTCTGCGGGTGATATCGGTGGGAGCGTGATAACGTGGCGAAAGCTAAGCGGAGAGCAAGTCGTCTGCTTCTTGCGCAGGAGTGGCGGTGACGTCAGAACGACACCGAGCTCTTATTGGCTGATTGAAAAAAAAAAAATAGTGAACAGACCTTAAGGCTTCTAGCATTGAGGCCTACCCACTATGATTTTCAATCAGCCAATAAGAGCTTGGCTTCGTTTTGACGTCAGCACCACTCCTGAGCAAGAAGCAGACGACTTGCTCTCCGCATATACTAGACGAATGCCTGGTTCAGCGAGCTCGTCGCTTCCGCCGCGTCGTCAACTTGGAGGTGAACGGAGTACACGACCAATCTGTTCGCAACGTGCGAGGAGGTGAGATGAAAGACTTTGTCTAACATCATCATGTTCTATAGAGAGAAAAACTGAAGGAAAGGAGGAGGCGAGAGCCTGTTGCGTCGTTAGAGCGCCAAACTCTAACTGTACTGGTTTGTCTTTATCCAGTCTACCTCCAATTAGAGCAAACACGAGTGTCGTCTACTCCTAGCGTAGGCTCTGGGATTCGAACACCGTACACGGAACCTTGCGGGAGGAGCAGACGACGCTCCGGTTTACTCTGATTGGAGAGAGGCAGAGGGTTAGAGGTTAGTCTTTGCGTTTACCCACTATCAGACCAATAGAGCTGGGCGCTCTGACGTCGTTGCACGCTCTCATCTCCTCCTCTCCCTCAGTTCCTCCCCGTACAGTCACCGACAAGGTGAGTAGGAGGCAGGGCGTATTTTTTTCAGACGCCCAGCCTCCTATATGGAGGCTGGGCGTCTGAGCGCACGCACTCAGTTGTTTCCCTTTGCCGTACCATAGCCTCCTATATACTGGCAAAGCCTGGCAGATCGCCACGAGAAGCGGCCGCCGAAATGAAAAAGGGGTAGTGGCAGACAATGAATGAGAGGAGAGCCACGTGACTGGCGCCCCGCTGCGGCGAGACGCCGAAACACACTTCTCCCAAGCGAACAAGTGTGTTTTGGGTCCTCGCTGCTGCAAACGCTGTGCACTGACGTCGAGGTTCCCCGAGAAATGGCTCTTTGATGCTCTGTGCTACCAGATCCTCGCGCTCCATGTCTCCGACCGGGCACTCTATGGCTCCGTCGTCGAACTGCCAGGCTTTGTGTGCGTATAGAGGAGGTCATGGCCGTGCACTGGCTGCGCGTGCACGCTCGAGGCTCCCGAGACGCGGATGCGTGATCGCAGTGAGGAAGTTCGGGCCGAAGGCGGGACAACTGAAGGGCCTTCCCCGCCGCTCTCATCTTATCAGTGGCTAGACGACAAGCACTAGAGTTGCGACGTCACCTAGTGGAGGCCAGCTCGGGCCACGGATATTCGAGTAAATTGTTGCGTCAGTATTCGGCTGAGAGTTGTGTTCTCCCCGATCGAGCTCGAGTTCCAGCCAAACGCGGAGGCGGCACTCGCGTCCAACTTGCGTCTCGTACTGGCCTCTGGCAGGTGACGTAGAAAATCCAAATCTTCGGCCTTGTTTTCTAGAGGGCATACGGGCAGAAAATGATGGAGAGGAGGAGACGAGGGCGCACAAAGTCGTCAGAATGCCGAGCTCTGATCGGAAGGATTAGGGGGTAAAGGCAAGGCTTTGTCTCCACTGTCTCTAATGTACTCAAAAAGTCAAATTTGGGGGTTTTACGTGCCGAACCTACGACGGGCATCTGGCACGCCCCAGCGGAGGACTGGGGATTAATTTCGACCGCCTGGGGATCTTTTGACGTGAAACGGAAAGCTCGGTTACACGGCGCCTTCTCCGCAATAAGCCTCCGTCATATTGCGGGCACATCGGTCGGGATTCGAACCCGCCACCTGGGGATCCGTAGGCCGGCGCTCTCGCCTCGGAGCCACCGAGGCGGCTCCAATGTACTCGTCGAAAGCGTTCGAACACCGAACGCCGGACGCCGGCGTTCCTCGTCCTAGCACATTTGAACAGTGCAGTGTAGACAAAAGCTGCGTTTATTCTAGAATGCACTTGTGGAACGCGAAACGCCGGTGTCTGACATTTGGCGTTCACGTTCGAACGGGTTGGACGAGCGCACTGGATACAAAGACAGATAGCAATGCGTCTACGCATTAATTATTCAAACAAGAGCTTGATATTCTCACATTCCCACGCGCTCTCGTGTCCTTCTCTCCCTCGATTTCTGCCGGCCTTCTTTTGACGCATTCGTCTCTCGCAAACCAGGCAATGATAGGCATACACGTTGTGCCGGCTTTGTTTCGTTTTGTGAGGCGTACTTGAAGAAGACAAAGAGAAAGCAATCAGTTATCAAGTTTGCTTAATTAGCCTAAATTCATATTATTCGAACGTGCGTTGGTATTTTCGTTGTTGTTTCTTTTGTTCCTTTGTTTTTTCAAGTAGTACCATTTTTCACTGAATTCAGCTGTGGCAGCTCAGAGTTATATAATGCCCCACGATTGATTTTTACTGCAGTCACATCCACATATTCATGCATATCTGACAAAGGTTCGAGTAAAGGAGCTCTCGACATTCTCATAGCATCGGAGCAAAACACAAATCTCGCGTTTCTCAGAAGATTGAGGACATAATAAAAGGCACAACGAGGATTAAAAGCGGACGTCTCGAGCGGATACTTATCGGCACTTTCCTGACAAGACAATTTGCCGCTAATGCCCTCCGCTAATTCCGCACTTCTCTGCTCGTTCCTCTTTGTAGTTTTCACGCGCTGCTGAGCGCTACAAAAATAACGGAATCGATTCTTCAGAAGGAAGGGTATGTCAATAGCAAAAAGAGATCAATATAAGGCACGTACAGCTTAATTCTGCTGTAATGTAATGTTTCGCAAAATAGAAAAAAAAAATACACACAGACACGGGGAAGCCCGTAATCCTTCGGTAAAAACTAAAATTATGGCTCAGGAAACAAGATGTGAATACTACGTACACCCTACTATAGTCGCTGCCGGCTTAAGAATCTCGGGGCGTGGTTTATTGTGTTCACGCCTCCTGCTTCGTCATTAGTTCTTCTCGGCTGATGATGCAATCTCATTGGCTGCGGAGAGATAATGAGATGCACATCATTCGCCACGTTTCTTGAGCTGATGGTCACTTCGCTATAAACTATTGGAGCGCTATCACTTGCGAGCGTCCTATTTTATTTATATTTTTAATTTCCTACTGCCTTTTTTTTTTTAGCAAGCATGCGACGTGTTCTGCGTGGGCGACGGCATCGGCCCAATCGAGATGACGCCCTCGATGGAAGAAAACATCGCCTGGTCTCCGGACAAAGTGCGGCTGGACAGAAAGGCCACCGACAAGAACCCCGTCTTAGGTTTCGGTGAGATGAACGAACGAACGATCCAACGTTCGTTCCGTGTTCCTGAATTTTGGGAATGGAAAGTAAATTAATCCCAAAACAAACGTTAACTTAAGCTCTACTAGTTTAAGAGATCTAAAATGATTTCCTGCTGAGGTGAGCGAATCAGAAATCAGCAAACATTCAATTCCTCCTTGCAGGCCTTTCCAAAGGTTCCAGCAGGAGAGTGGTGATCAGTCGTCTTGTCTCCAGGAAGGTACTACAGTGGGATCCGGAGGACGACAAGTGAGTGCCATAAGCTCGGCCAAAAGAATCTCCGTTAAGATTTGTCTTTTCGTCTGTTGTACTTGTTTTACTTGTTTACACGAAAGGATTGACTAAGACCTAGCTAGTGTACACAGTGCAGTAATTTGGGTAGAGCTTTTTTGAAGCGCGCTGTAAAAATATTCGAAATCCTTTTGTTTATCGGCTGATTAAGAAGGTGTAATTCCGACAGAAAGTTAACAGACAGAGTACACCGACTTGGATACAGCTGTTTTTTGACGAGCGCAGTGGAGATGTTCTAAAGTAGTCAACTGTTCTTGCGCCAGCTTCGAAGCCAGTTCTTATGGTGTGATTATAGTAGCCCACAGGCCGACCTCGAGTGTTACGCCACTAATTGGCATGGAGTGTCGAGTGCCTCAGGGTTTGCGAGCCTTAATCATAGGACTCCACAAGGCCTCCAAGCGTGAGGTTTGTCCCCTATCATTCCGATGCATCCGAGCAAAACTGCTTTTGCTTTTTCCCAAAGAACATTCTGTGGCTCGAAAAAGATGGAAGAGTTATCCAGGCTAGCTACAGATTTCACCCAAGTGTCCACAGGGTGAATCCAACTGCATTATTTGTTAAAACAAAAAAAAACTAAATTGACATAAGCTGATGGAACAAACATGAAAGATTACGTAAACGACTCAAGTTCTACCACAAATATTAAATTGCCCTAGTGAATATGACTACCATTATTTACATTAAAGTATTATTTTTAGTTTTAGGTAACATAACTAATAAACTGCAACAATTCATCTTTTCCTGCCAGTTAAAAATATAAGAGAACGTTTTCCCTGGACCTCGCTAAATTCTTTGGGAACAAATATTAAAAAAAAAAAGCAATTTTAAAAACAAGCTTTCAAGTTCGTTTTTTTGACGTGCAAGAGACAATTAACAATATTACAATAGAAACAAAAACGTGTTCACACTTCTGTTTTTAGCATCTTTCCTATAAAATGTACATATACTTATTTTCTGGATAGGAAGAAATTGTTGATCTGACTAAATTCAAAACGTCTCACGATGAACGATGGCGAGTAAATAGAAGTGTCACAACTGACTGGTGCAATGGTCAACGTGCTAATTTCTCTTCTAGGCATGCCATTTTATTTATTGAAACGTATAGTACAACCTTTTTAACACAGATTGTTGTAGGACTGGTTTGCATGGCCTAAGCATAATGTTACGATGGAGTGTCACAAAGAACCATGTCGCGCCCCCTAAGTGTAGCAAACCGATATCCCGCTAAATCCATTTAAATTTACTAGGTCGCACTAATGGATTATCATTAATTAATAATTCGAATTATTTAAATTTAGTAAAACAAATATACGCGTCCTTACACCGCACACTCTGCGTCTCCCTACGTTATATCTGCATGATTAAGTTACTTTTTTGTCTTTTCTAATGCGAGAAATGTATTTTTGGCTAATTGTTTTATTCTATTCTTGTTTTCCGTTTTATGGAGGGTGAGTAATTACTCTCGCAATAGTTTGTTGTAAGCGGCAACAGAAGTCGGCCCATACTTGGGGCCTCCTTGTCTCAAATAGTATGATGCCAATATGTATAAACGCCTTGAACTGTAAATGCAACAATCCATAAACTTTTTCCCCAACGCTCTTTTGAAGTGCCACATTAGAAAGTGTCGCAAAACAATCTCGTGATTTTATGGAATGATCACATTTTTATATGCTCATCTGCCTAATTGTATGACTCAAATTGCAGAAGTTGCTGAGCATGCAACGCCGGCTATCTCCTTACAGTAAACATTCAGTATATCAGCATATATACAGGGTGTTTCATTTAGGAGTGACAGTATTGAAAACAAGGAAACTCGAAACAAATACCTAATTCCTTAGAGACTACGTTGCCCACGGCGGCGTACGTAAGGACGTTAGAGTAAAGTTCTCATGAGGAACTTAATTAACAAAAAAAATCAGTAATTTATTTTTAGTATCTTGTTTTAGCTAGCATGTTTTAACTAGAGGTTTGCAGCCCTTCGTTTACTGAGAGTCAAGCAGTGAAGAGTTCTCAGAAAAAAAAATTCTGCTTAGACTTATTGAGTGGCGCATTTTGCCAATCACGGAAGCGGGGAATCCAAACTAACTCTGAAAATGCGCAACAGGGGCGGAAAGAATTTCGCTGCCGAAGAAGCGTCACAAAATGGAACACGTGTTAGTTGCTGTAACGGGCGTCACCGAATGTGACGCGTACGTTGCTGTAAACACTTGACCAAAACATTTGGCCCAATCCCAAATCGGCTCGCGGCCTGCTCCCGCGAGCCGATTTAAATCTAGAAGTTATCACATGCGTCTCTCGTATACAATAACTGACTTTTTTTTCTTTAAATAATTGTTACACTAATGAGACACATCTCGGGGTTTTTGATAAGCTTTGGCCCTATCCTAAATAGGTTCGTGGGATCATGCCGCGAGCCAATCTGGGATTGGGACAAAGCTTTTGGTCACGTGTTTACAACAAATTACGTGTCGCCAAGCGTCACACTCTGACGCCTCTTCTGCAGCGATACTGTTCTCGCTTGTGGCGCGCGCGTTTTCTGAGCTAGTTTTGATTTCCCGCTGCCGTGATTGCCAAAGTTTGCCACGCAATAAGTCGAAGTATACTTTTTCTACTTCTTCTATATATACTTCTTCTGATATCTCTCAACTGCGCTAGTCTCAGTAAACGACGGGCTGCAAATCTTTAATTGAAACATGCTAAATAAATAAAACAAAAGGCTAAAAAGTTCATAAGTGACTTCTTGTTCATTAAAGGGGTACTCCGGCGTTTTTTGTTTTTTCATATCCAAAATTGGCTAAACACACCAACCAACAGCGCAAATGGCAATCCAAATATTGAACCAAATATTTTTTTTTTCGAAGTTATTGAATTTACAATTTTGGTCTCACCTTGTTTTAGAAAATGAAAGTCCACTGGCAACAATGAAAACTTGACGTCAGCGGAAGGCAGAGGTTAAATCTTTGGACTGTAGACTTTTTCCCCAACGCATGACAAGCAGCTTTATGTTGTCAAATGAATGCTTTGGAAGCTCGCTCCAGGACACGCGCAGCAGCACGGAACAAATTCTCGGCATAGTCCGTTCTCACACTACACGCTCGACCTGTAAGCCTGCCTTCCACGGACGTCAGGGCACTGAGAAGCGCATGTATATTTGAACGTTGGGTTTGGCATCATTTTCACTTGCCCATTTCACAATAACTATTGACAATTTCGCGTACTAGACAGCATACGAAACGGTTAAAGGCCGATGATTGCAAAAATGTTGGCTTTTGGGGTAGCTCAAAAAATCGCCAGAGTTTAAGTCTTTTATGAACACTTGACAATTGTGTTTTACGTCCGCCTCCGTAGACAACGTAATCCCGATGGAATAGCGTCTTTATTTCAAGTTCTTGTTTTTGAAAAAAATTTAACTCTTTAGTGAAACGCCCTGTATTTGGATGACACGTTCAAGGTTGGTTCCTCTTACAGGAAGACAATCATGGTGGTGCTGGAGTCCAGCAACGAGAGCGAGCTCAAGTACGCACCGGGGGATCACATTGGCATCTATGCCGTGAACCGAGACGACATCGTCAACGGCATTGTGGAGAGGATCGCGCCAGGCTCCGCGGACCCAGACACAGTTTACAGGGTCCAGTATAGGGAGATCGTCCAGAACCCCATCACGGGTGCGTCCATATGTCACTTGCGCTAGTTGCGTTGTCTCGCTTTTGTTAGAGATGATCCAAAAGAAACTAACTATAGTTTCAGCAATCAAAGAGTGACAGAATACTACGGCAATCAGTACTACTTTTATACCTAGTGTAATTTTGCAGTTATGCGTCTTTTTTTTTCAGACAAGGACAGCGCTCAATAGTGCAGGTTTTCCTTTATCTGATTAAAAGAGCGATTTATTGTTCAGCTCGAGCAGACGGCCCCTTGTTGGCGATTCAAGTCGTGTGCAGTATCCTGTCGCTTGAAGACTGCAGTGTTTCCTAAATGCTCTGCATTGGTGAAACATTCATTTCCCGCTTCGTGTAAGCTTTGCCTCATGTGTTTTCTGAAAATGAAATGTGAAAACTCCGTAATTAGGCTAAATCGTAACGCCACAATTAAATCGCTTAATAACAAGGCAAAATTAAAGCAAAAGTGAGGCTACTTTTCTCGTCTATTTTCCACAAAGAAAAACGCCAAGAAGGTTGGAAAAAAGAAGCGGTATCCTATACGTCGTAATCAAAATCTATTTGTTCTCCTTCGAATTGGTTCGTTGAATAGTCGGCGACAAAAACAACATAGAAAGGAACCTGGCGGTCTTCCCCTATTTAAATTTAATGGTTATTCGCGACTGTAATGTCTATCTCTGTAAATAGACGTTTTAACTTTTTTCGAATATGTTGCTCCATTTCCGAAATTTTCTGCCATACAAACATATACTTTTTAACCTCTTTGTTTATTCTTCTTAATATATCTGCGAAATCTGGTTATTGAATTGGGATGTATACATGTCGTAAGATATAGCCGTCAATGAAGCATTAATGATGACCGACTTCTGTTAGAACTACAGTCACTGACAGCCCAAGAAACGCGGTGTTGATCTGTTATGAACATGCTTCTTGATTTGTGATTCGTTCTTCGGCTTTTTGATTAACTGACGCAGCAATGCGATATGGCTGTGGTGAGATAATAAGATAATAAGAACTCTTAAGCTGTCAGTACTTCCACTGTTCAAAGTATGTTGCGTCTAGTTTCTATACAAAACTCTCCAGAGAGTCAATCGCCGCAATCTGCGAATAAAACCTCGGTGAATGACTTGATTGAAAAATACGTTTACACCTAGAAAACAAAAAAACAGTCAGCGCTGTGACATTGAGTGTGACGTTTCGTCTGCTTACCTCAGTGGTCAATGTCGCAGCACAGCGTATTTTTGTTTTTTGGTCTAAACGCAATTTCAGCCTCATCCTTTGCCGGGTTGCGTCCGTATAAATTGCGGCGATTGGTTTACGCAAGTATACGGTGCCTAAAACGGGTCTACAGCCGGTGTGTTTACCGATTCCCAGAATAGTGGTCCCTCGACTTCCTCCTGATGACGTCATGAAAGTTGTCACGCTGTCGCCGGTTGCGATCCTGGCGGTGTTACAGCAGTGGAGCTTGAACGTCGTAGACGCCTGTTCTGCTGCAGGTGGCTCTCCAGTGTGACAGTCCAGGGAAGCTTCGGCAGTCAGAAGTTGGGAGGCCGCGACGACAGCGACACTCCGCGTTCGCTCGTGCATTTCGTTACGACCAACCGCCAGGATTGCGACATCCGACAACAGGACACGCCAGCTTTTCTGACGTCATTTGTTCCCACTTCGGGATCACTTTCGACGCATTGGCGGGACAGAACGCTAAGCGCACCAGTCGCGGAGACGCTTTCCTTTAACCGTTTCGGAAGTGGTTTGTCGGAAAGAAGACGCATCGAATTTCCTATGCGGAGAGCGAGTCGTCTGCTTCTTGCTCAGGAGTGGCGATGACGTCAGAACTTCGAGCTCTGATTGGCTGATCAAAAAAAATAGTAGGTAGACCTCAATGTTAGATGCCTTGAGGTCTATACCCACTAATTTATTCAATCAGCCAATCAGAGCTTGGCGTCGTTCTGACGCCACCGCCACTCCTGCCCAAGGAGCAGACAACTTGCTCTACGTATAGCGCTGCTCTTACAAAAAAGAGCGCACTGTCCGATGCAGGCGAACAGAAGGAGACCTGGCAGGACAACACGCGGATGCCGCCCTGCTCGTTGAGGGTGGCGCTCAGTCGGTACATGGACATCACGACGCCGGCATCCCAAGAGCTGCTCAAGTACCTCGCCGCCATGGCCTCCGATCCTCGGCAGCAAGAGACGCTCCAGACACTGGCCACCGTACGGGCTGACGTCCTTCCCATCGTTAACTGTCGCGATCCTCGCTCTTCCACTGCCTTCTTATATATTGTACATTTAAAGTGTTTTTTTTTCAATAGCCTTGGTGGGAGCATGATGAAAAACAGAAGAAATTATAGTAGTATTAAAGGTGCCTTACAGGTGCGAAATGTATTCGACGTCGCAATGCGCCAATCGTGGACCAGTAGTGAGGGTTTACAGAAATACGGGAAGCACTTCACTAAAAAAATATTAAAAGCGTTAATACATGACGCACTAGGAGAGCTTTTTTTTCTCGTTTACTCTTAACTTTTAAGAGCAGCTGCTATTATCGCGTATTCACTTTTAATGCGCGTGTGCTTACTCTACCAGTAAGGTCAAAAGTACGAAGTGCACTAAGGGATTCTGAATTTCAACAAATGCATATGCTTACTGTTGCCTTAAAACAACTTGCGCAAATTAAAAAAAAAATCTCAGATGCACTTTAAAGCACCCATGCGATTGCATATCCACATCTATGATACGTGACCCGTCCGATATCCACTTGCATACCAAAAACACGCGGTGCGTGTGCGCGCAGACGAAGGTTTGGCGGGGGAAGCAACGCTTAAACTCCTCCTACAGATGCGCTCAAGAAAACAGTATCAATTGTAAACAGCACCGCGATTCCCGGCCACAGGCCTGTTTCTCTCTGCCAGAGGGCGCTGTAGCGTCCACGAAACGCGACCACAAAAGAGGTACCTTCGCTATAGACGCGGGACGCGACCATCTAGTACTGACATGAAGCGACGTCTTCGGGCGTAAACTAGCCTCCTTCCAAGTCTGCCCAAGGTTCATGCGCACTAATAGAGCGTTTGAAAGGACGCAACGCTACGCACAGCAAAAACGCGACCTAGAAATCCCTTATATTGCTCACCAGGGGCACTGTTCAAAACTTGAGAGCTCCAGGTCTATTGGGGAACAAAGGTGATCGCGCCGAACCGAATTGGAAGCTTCGTGACTTCTCCAAAACAAAATTAGCTCAGCCACTTGTTTTCTTTCGCGCCAGAACCTGGAAAAGTACGAGGACTGGAAGGCGCACAAATTCCCTCACCTGTTGGACCTTCTGGAGGAGTTCCCGTCAGTGCGCCCAACGGCGGAGCTGCTGCTGTGCATGCTACCGCTCATCCAGCCGCGCTTCTACTCCATCAGCTCGGCGCCGGAGGCCTACCCCGGACAGATCCACCTCACCGTGGCGGTGGTCACCTACACGACGGAAAGTGAGTGCCGTGACACTTTAACTTGACGCTTCCGCTCTTTGCGAAATTTTGGTCTATAGATCAATCACCTTCTGCGCACTACCGTTTTTGCCTACTGAAGTTTTTGAGTGCGTTTTAAGCATGCGGAGTAGCTCTCTACTGGAAAATACCGGGCACCATGCGTGTGACTATACAGCCGGCAGTTCCCGCCTTCGGTGATAATAGAGCGTGTTCCACATCGAAGTATTCGTCATAACCGTACCTCGGCAAACCTCACTCATGAGGGCCCTCACTCACCCTCACTCACCCTCACTCACCCTAATCTTCACAGGTGAGGTGAGAGTGAGTGAGTTTCTGAACCAGGAAAATTCATGAGTGTGAGGGTGAGTGAGGGCCGTGAGGGCTGTGAGGGCGGTGAGGGCCGTGAGGGCTGTGAGGGCGGTGAGGGCCGTGAGGGCTGTGAGGGCGGTGAGGGCTGTGAGGGCCGCGAGGGTCGTGAGGGCGGTGAGGGCCGTGAGGGCCATGAGGGCCATGAGGGCCATGAGGGCGGTGAGGGCGGTAAGGGGTATGAGGGCCATGAGTGCGTGAGGGCAGTGAGTGGCATGAGAGGCGTGAGGGCTGTGAGGGCCGTGAGGGCGGTGAGTGCATGAGGTGTGTGAGGGCCATGAGTGCGTGAGGGCGGTGAGTGCGTGAGGCCCCCTTCAGTTCGAGCATCTTTCTCAGCAATTTTGATGTTAATGGCGGGTTGTCCTTTAGCTTTCCCTAGATCGACACGAATTGCTGAGATCGGGTCCGGCTCGAAATAAGCAAGCGACTCGGAGCAAATCGAATACGTTTGAAGCGGCTGCATCCAATCAGGGACTCAAAATGTTCACGTGATACCTCGTGCCGGTGATGATGACACCGAAAGACTTGGTTCTGGTTTAAAATCGATCGTTTTTTGGAAATAAACTGTTTCAGAAAGGTGCATTAGTACTCTTAACGAGATTTAAATGCATAAAAACTCGTTTATAACGCGTAATTGTGTCTAAATAGTGCAAGAAAAATAAGATTTTATGATGACGATGGCAAATTGCAGCAATTGGTTGCTGCGTGTGATCGCGGGCGGCCCGTGTTGCTGGTGTTGCGACGCAAAGTTCCTGGGCGAAATTGCCCCATCTGAAGCTGGCCTGAGTGGCTTGAGGGCCATGAGTGCGTGAGGGGCGTGAGGGGTGTGAGGGCCGCAAGGGCGGTGAAGGGCGTGAGGGCGGTGAGTAGCGTGAGGGCAGTGAGTGGCGTGAGGGCGGTGAGTGGCGTGAGGGCCGTGAGGGCGGTGAGGGCCGTGAGGGCGGTGAGTGGCGTGAGGGCTATGAGTGCGTGAGGGCGGTGAGGGCAGTGAGGGCGGTGAGGGCGGTGAGTGGCGTGAGGGCCGTGAGGGCGGTGAGGGGCGTGAGGGCCTTGAGGGGCGTGAGGGCCGTGAGGGGCGTGAGGGCCGTGAGGGGCGTGAGGGCCGTGAGGGGCGTGAGGGCCGTGAGGGCGGTGAGTGCGTGAGGGCCGTGAGGTTCAGTGAGGGTGAGTGAAGAGTTGAAGGTGAGTGTGACTGTGAGGGTGAGGGTGAGTGAGGGGCTGAAGGTGAGTGTAGCTGTGAGGGTGAGGGTGAGTGAGGGGCTTAAGTTAGTATGGCTGTGAGGGCGAGGGTGAGTGAGGACGACCTAAAATGCCAACCTCTGGTCATAACCTTAGCGGAGCTGCAGTGTTACGTTGTTTAATTTGCTGATGGCTTGTCTGTTTGACAATTTCAGACGGAAGCGGAAAAAAGCACTACGGAGTCTGTTCTTCGTTTTTAGACACCCTCAACCCAGGAGAAGAAATGGCTTGTTTCGTGAGAATGTAAGTCCTTACCTACTGGGCCTTTGAATGGGGTTTTTAAGCCGCTTCATTAAGCGAGGATTTTGTGGCTAAAAATGCCGTCGCCGCTATTTATTGATATTGCAGAATTTATTTCCAGCACAATTGCAAACCAGAAATTGGCTCGTATGAAATTCAGGCGAAATTTCAGATTGTGTGCCAAAGACTTCCGGCGGCAACAAATCGCAGCGCAAATCGAGAGGGGCTATAGGTCGGTCAGGTTCTGTGCTGCGATTGTTTTACACTACTACTGACTTTCAAGATCTTTTGACGTTATGTGAAAGCTGTCCGCTTTCAATTACAGCAAGCCAGACAAGGAAAACAGTCACAACTCTTGTGTTTACGGGCACGACTGTTTAATTCACACTCTAAAAAAAAAAGGAGTCAACAAGTGCCGACTCGACTTTTTTTGGAGAGTCATCAGGAGCAGAGTCATTTAGAGCGGAAAAGCTGAAAGTGGATGGGGTTAAGCATAAATCGGTTTTGAGCTAGAAAAAAACAATGCACTAAGCTTAAAATGTTTTAATTCATCTAAGAAAACGTTTACCTTTAATGCTTTCACATGTAACCACCTGGAAACGTCACATTCGTTGAAGCATGTTTTTATTGTAGAAGATCCTGACGAGCTTTCATTTGTCCTACGTCGTTCAAAGTGACCCCTAAGGCCGTTGAACAGACTAATATAACAACGCCGAGAGTCCTGTAGGGAGCTTTGAAGTAATATACATTTTACCTGATCTTATGATTAAAAAATTTAGCAACATAAAACTCATATCAAAGAAGCCTAACGATCGTGATCCGGCTTAGTCGACGTGGAGGCGCAATATTTAGGTTACTTATTTTCCAGATCCAGGTGTCTCAAACTCATTTCAGTGCGGGGGCCAGATAGCCCATTCCCGAAAGGTCGAGGGCCAACCTAAGGGGGAGGGGAGAGTGGGGAGGATTTTGAGGAGGAACCCCATGCCCCATTCTTTTTTTTTTTTTAAACTCGCAGTGTAGTTACTGAGATCTTCAGCTTTGATTTGTTTATAGGACTAATTTGGGTCCTTGCCTAATGTGATAACAAGATTTAAAATGGCACCACTCCTACGAAAGCAGTCCCACTGCCGTTTTTTTTTTTTTTTTTTTTGTTCACCAATTTATCCGGAACTTATTCAAGCTCTAGATTTATTTTTTAAAAAAAGGAGAAAATCTCTTCATATGACAGCGCTTTGTTTCCTGGGGATTCTTGATAGTAGCAGTCTAAAAAAATACTTGTAGTTGAATGGCGATTTTTTCTGAAGGCGAAAATCCCAAGCTCTTAGCTTTATCTTTGACCATTCCTCTGCTGAGCGAGAGTTTGTGCAGCCAAAGTGTATCTTTGAGCAAAGTTCTCGCGCTTGCAGCCTAAAAGCGAAATTGTGGTACAGGTGACTAACGTGAGAAAACTTGGGGAAGCAAAATATAAAAAAAGACACAAGGCAAATGAAAACAGAAAGGCAACTGTGTAAATACGTTATAAGAGCAGAGCTATGTTTCGAGCGGAAATAAATCAGCAACCTGAGATCATTATAGCGTATTCCTTTTCTTGCGCTCAAGGCATGGGAACGAGGGCTCACAGCCCGTTGCCCCCGGGCCGCGTCCTAGCGATTCGCGGGCCGCATGCGGCCCACGGACCGCGTGTTTGAGACCCTTGAGATAAACGAATGCTTGGCAGCTTCAAAGATATAACGCTTGACGAGATCGAATATTATATTTTTTTAGGCTCGATATTTTTATGTGTGTAGTCTTCTACTGCAGTATATTCAGAGAGCAATATTTTTCGTTGGTCGTACCACAAGTTCAGAACTAGCTCCCATTTATCTTTTGACGAAAACAATGATTCTTATTGTGGGGAATTCACGTTGCATTCGTCCCAATCAAGACATTTCCTCTTGGCTGGACATAAATAGAAACTAGTTGTGAGCAGCCATTGCGCACAACCCCGAGCAATACAGATTGCCGTGAATAACCCCTATAGCCAGGTCTGTAATTCAAAAACGATCATCATAGATGCTGGACGTCTCAAAAATGCCCACCATGTTAGCCAAACAATTCGAGAAAAAAAAGGTTATGTTTTAGGAAGTTCAGGATACCATAAACATCTGCCGAATCAGTGAAAGGCTTTCTAAAGTCTACTTACTCATGCGGCGCAAAGAGGTCGAGGTCTCACTGTCCAACAGTCGTATGTCTGATTTTGCTCATGTGCGAGGACAGCTTGCGTTCTCCTGACTGAAATAGACCTTGCGCGTTAAGTCAAAGTCCGCTGTTTCGCAGAGCTCCGAACTTCCACCTCCCAGAGCGGAAGAATGTCCCCGTGGTACTCGTGGGACCTGGGACAGGAATCGCCCCGTACCGAAGCTTCTGGCAGCGGCGCTATTGTTCCATGCAGGGGGTCTACCAGGAAGGTGAGATCGCGGAGGCTTGCAAACTGACAACGTCCTTCGACAATAAGATCTTATACAAAAAATATGCTAATTGCGCCTTTTTATGAAACAGAACGCAGACTGAAAATATACTTCAACTATTCTGCAGTAGGCATTTAATATATAAAGTATGATTTAACTATGTATTTAGTCTATGTTTTGTTTTAGTGGCACTTATATAACTCTACACCAATATAAATTTTGGTTCTTTCGCTGATCCTGTCCGACCGCTACGGCCTAAGCACTAAAAAAGTATTTTTAGTATGACATTAGTAAACTCGAAATATACTGGGAGTACACCTTCCTGTGCCATGAAGATTGCACAATGTGTATACTAGCTCCTCATATACTGCAATACTGCCAAAATCAACACTACGAGAGAATCTCCCATATTATGTAAGATGTGGGTGAGATTCCCCCATAACCCATCGAATAAACTTTTATTATCCTCGATCCTCACTCAAGTTCTCATGTTTCTGTTTTTATTAAATTTTTACCAGCTTCAGTTCTCAACCTTCTGAAACCTGACTTTCTTAATTCGTCGTCTTACTTAATCTGTTCCTCTTTATCTTAGGTCAACCTTTCTATGAAGGTCCAATGACCCTTTACTTCGGTTGCCGAACTTCGGACTCCCAGCTGTACGCTGAGGAAGTTCAGACAATGAAGGACGTCGGTGCACTGGAGAACGTATTTCTCGCCTTTTCTAGAGTTCCCGGGAAGCAAAAGGTAAGGGTGCTCCAGAAGCCCGCTAAGAACCTCTGATAGCATGAGAAATTTTATGTGACTTGCGATTTGATTGAGACGTTTTAGAAATCTTCATATGTTTGATTTTCATCGTCGAAGCATGCAAGGTACATGACGCGGTTGTTCATAATTGACGCGACTATGCTCATCGGCCAAGGTTATCGAACGCACTTTCAGAAGGACGACTGGGGGCCTCTGTTTGCACTCTTTTTAGGTTATGCATACCTAAACTTTCTAACCATGTATTTTTAAGGCGAAAGCATTAATTAGCTGTCCGATTGAACGAGCCGACGACATCAGTTTGAAGCGCACCAAACGGCATCTTAAATCCTTTCTCCAAGGGAAGCCAGCTCCCAGCCATGAAACTACGCGAAAAGCTTAGACAACGGCACCTAGTTTCCCCGATCTCGAAGGAGCGGAGTAAGGCTGATGGATTTCGCCTTCGGTCCAATTGGCTGGCGCGCGTCGACGAGGCTCCCAGTGGCCACTGCGCGCTTCAGTTTCAACGACCGCCGCCCCATGGCGCTGTGTGTCCACGCCGCGAACGCGCCTGTATCACGAAGCGTCCAAGGTCAGAGCTGCGAGGAGAGCTGGGAGTGCGCGCGCACGGCCGACGCAAATACGCCGCAAACGAAACACGGTAGCGGAAGAACGGCCACGCATACTTTCGTATTCACAACTCATAAGAAGTGCTTAGGTGCTCGTATGGCCCCTAACCGTCTGGTGCCTCGTCTCCCACGTGTCAAGACACTACTCCGTTCACCACTAAGCTTACGGTGTAATAGAGGCTACGTGCTCGCTGGACCGGTCGATAGTGTGTCTTGCACCAGGTGATCAGGCTCTCTGTGCATACTCCCCACAGAAGAGCGGGGTCGCGTTTCAAAATGCCAGCAGAATTTTGCTTGGTTCGGCGAGCACATAGCTTTCACCACCATTTCATCTTAGCGCTAAACAAAATATCCCAGACTAAAATGTTCATTTTAGAGCGCAGCTTTTAGGCGCCCGTTTCCGGCTTGAGCGGTGTCGGCGTCGCCGTTGCCGTTGCCGTTGGCGTAACCGCACGTTGCATTATAGGACGTTGCCCATAATGACGCCACGTGTGACGTCACGAGGGTCACTAGGGTCACGAGTGACGTCACGAAGGTCGCTCATGAAGGTCACGACAAAGGCACGACCTTCACAATGAAAATCACGTGAAGGTCACGACCTTCACGTCAGTCAAAAGGGAGGAGGGAGGAAAGGGGGAGGAGGGGAGAGGGGGAAAAGAAGGAGGGGCATACCCTCCTCTACGTATCCTCCCCTCCTCCTCAGAGCTGCGCTCTAATTTGGCATTACAGGGAATCGTAAACGTCTTTAATTTTTTGTTACTTTTATGCTAACACCAGGAGAGTGCCTTGCTGCGTTGATAAAATACTCGTGAACGTGTTTGCAGCATGAGAATACAGAGCACACGAATACTTGTGTACAATATAATTTAAAATTGAACGGCTCGGGTGAAGAGTCACTCATGAGCCAGAAGTAATGACGTTGTCTGCGTACACGTTTCAGCACTACGTGCAAGACCGGCTGCACGAGAAGGCTCCGGAGCTGTACCGGCAGCTGGTCAAGGAGTGCGGCCACCTTTATGTCTGTGGCGACGTCATCATGGCCGACGGTGTCAACAAGGCCGTCAGGGAAATCCTGCGAGACCAAGGAAAAATTACCGAAGAGAAGGCCGAAGCCCTCATGGACAAACTGCGGGTTTGTAGATATTTGAACGTTTTCAACTAATTTATAATATTCATGTAGCCTGCGAGGAGTGGGAGGAGACAAAAGAAAGCATGCTAAATACTGCTACAATGAAGACGTAATTATATTTATTAGGAGGTTTGCTTTATGCTGTTTGTTCTTTTCCTTTCATCACAGCTTTGCTTTGACTTCAAGGTATCGTATAGATAGTGCAGTTCCACTTCACTGCTACGTGTCGATGCTCAAGCTTCGCTGTGAATCGTACAGGGTATTGCCGCGCTCCTGGTGATGGGCTGTTTGCTTGCTTATATCTTTTCTGACTCTAGAAATTTTCAGGTGTGTTGATTATTGCATAAGACCTTTCCTCGTTATCGGCTATCCAGTTGAGCAAGCAGTATTCTGATAGCCGGTGCTGATTTTCTTACCACTGCACATGATGTTAGTATACTATTACGGATTGCGCCTTTCCTGCATGTTATACTTGTTAGGGCATGGAGGCATTGAATATAAATTGCACTGAAAATAGTGGAACATACATATCTGTGAGTGATTAGGCCCGACATATGTTGATTGACATTATGAAATCGATTCTATGTGTTTTGTTTCCGCAGGAAATGTAGGCATCAGGTCACTGATGTAGAAATACTGGTATAAATTTAACTACCTTTTCAACACCGTGGAAGGGGCAGTGCACAATACATTCATCGCGTTCTTTAACAATGTGCATCAGTTTGTGACTGAATAGGCGTTATTTATTTATCGCCGTGCTACCGTAGACAAAGTCGGAGCCACTTAGAGGGGTACTCCGGCGATTTTTTGAGCTACCTCAACTAACTATATTTTCTGACTCCCCGGCCTTTACCCTTTCCGGTATGCTATTTAGTATCGCGAAATTCATAATAGTTACTGCGAAATCGGCAAATGAAAATTATCCAAAAACCAACATTCAAATATACCCGCCCTTTTCAGTGCCGTGACGTCAGTGGAAGGCAAGCTGGACAGTCGGGCGAGCAGTCTGAAAAATAGAATATGCCAATCATTTGTTCGGTGCTGGAGTGCGGGGACAGGAGCGAGCTTCCAACGCGTTCATTTGACACCATGAAACTGCTTGGAATCAGTTGGGAACAAGTTCTACAGTCCAAAGAGTGAACCCCTGCACTTCCACTGACGTCACTTTTTCGTTGTTGCCAGTAGAGACTTTCAATTTGAAAAACACAGTGAGGACCAAAATTGTAAATTCAATAACTTCGTGAAAAAAACATTATTTTGACCTAATATTTGGGATACTATTTTGGCGATGCTGTCTGGCAAGTTCAGCAAAATTTCAAGCCAATCGGGGACCATGAAGAAATCGCCGGGGTACCCCTTTAAAGAAGGAAACATCAAAGCCAGGTTGTCTGGTCTGCTCCACCACCCGCAAGCAATTATCACCTGGACTGCCATAGTGATGGCTTTGGAGTGACGGAAAGCAAATCAAGAATGTAAATATGGAAGATACAAATCTACCTGAGGCAACCGACCCGGTTTTCATGAGAAACGTGACTGTTGCAGAGGAGCTAAACTTTCACCTCTGATTGTCGCTGACCAAACTATTCCTTCCTATAGAACATTCCACTAATATCCTTCTGAACTCTACCACCTTTGTCTACTGGGTCTTGGAACGCGTTCTGAACATCCGCAACAAGGCCTTTTCGCCTGGATGATAAGCGCTGGGAATGTGCACCATATAAGGCTCCGAGAAAATGCTGCAGGCTTGACTATCCGTGATATCTGCTCGGAAGCGTTCGGTGCTCACATTTTCTCATGAACTGCTATATGTTATATCGGTCACAGGTTCAGAACCTAGTAGATGCTCAGCCTCAAGCGCAAACTTTCTGTCTTTGATAATACTTTATCGCACGCGCAGCCAAAGCCCCACAGAAGTTAACGAGCGCGTGCTGAAGGTGAAGCATGCACTGGGTTGTGACCTGCCACCGACAATAGCCGCCTGGTGTCCACGCTTGAATATCAAGCGGGGATACCAGACCGGCGGGAGTTTTCCTAACCGGTGGGATTCCTCCGCTCAGGAAGAGAACCGGATCCATGAGGACATCTTCGGGGTCACCCTGCGCACGGAGGAAGCAACGAGGAAAAGTCGGGAGGATGCCAAGCGGCGCAGCACCAGCAAGTGACACCGCCTGGCCAAGCTCCCCGACTCCTTTTGCTCGCTCACTTTCTCCAGGCTGTTGGGACTCCTGCAGCCGCCGTCCGCAGCCGCACACGCCGACTGACTCCGGCGGTAGACGGCTCGTGCTCTCGGGAGTGTCCCATCGGCTGTCGGGGAGTAGCCAGCGCACCTCACCTTGTCGACAAGGTCCCGCCAGTCCGTCACCGTCTTTCCAAGCCGGACGTGCACCTGTCGGAGGGCCCTCGTACGCCGAATGTGGCCGGCACCCTTTCAACGCAGTCTGGATTCCCAAAACTTCAGTTTGCAAAGTGTAAACATTAGAAGCTTGTTTCGCTTTTGTGTACCACCGTCTGACTATCCAGACAGTCGGTGGCAATGGAAGTTAATTTTGATACACGGGTATCATATTATAATGTTAATTGCATCTGAATTTGGTAAATTTAGTAGCCGAGGAAGCACTTGGCGTTGGATGGTTATTAATACTTGCTTGCTAAAGCTGGCCGGTAATCCGGGAACGAGGCAGGTATAAACCATTCACCAATAGCTGGCTGTCATTCGTGGATAACCGAAATCCCCCATTCTACACCGAGTGTCGAAACCCTGCATCATAAGAACTTTTTTTTTCAGATTTGTTTGTTCAGGGTGTTGTTATCGCATTGTTGCTATTCATTAGATAGAAAGGAAAGTATATTCTCACGACATATTCGTTTGAAAGCGCAGCTAAAGAACGGATGCACGTTCTGCTTGGAAAGAAGATGGCGGAGCAATGAGGCCAAATTACTTTGCCACTAACCGGCAAAGAATAGCGCCCAGTGGCTAACTATCCAATCAAACAAATATATCACAGCATCCAAATAAATTATACGGCTTGGGTCACAGGAGAACATGGGATCCATCAAAAAGGGTTGGAGACAAAGCCAGACTTTATGGTGTCATACCATTCCTGACGTGCCGGAGTCTTCGTTCATTTCTAATCGAACACGTATTCACCGAGGGTTCAGGAATGAAGTACTTATATCCCAGAATGAGTTCAGTCTATTTAAAGTGTTGATAAGTATTGTCCGGCGACGCTATTCAATGATTCTTAATGCGTTAGAAAGTGTTTAGATGTTTTCAGGCAGCAATAGTCCAGTTGCTGTAGACAAGGCGCCACTGGAGATGCACATACTGTACATGTATATCTCGCAGGTCTCTAATGCCCCGCGAGTCAGGGGCCTGAAATTATTTCTGAATTTACACTTCTGTTAGCGCGCACGCACTTCGAGCACTTGAAACGTGACACGCGACTTTTTAGTAAGATTATCTGCTTTGTCTTCCTTTTTTTTTCTTCTTCTGAATGCTATATCTAACAGGGTTTGAGCGATGCTGTTAAAGGGGTAGAGTACACTCCACTCCAAAGCGAGATTGTCATGCAGCACTGGTGAAAGCGAGTGAATGAATGTTTTTTTTTGTCTGTACTACGGCGAGTCGACTGAAATCGCGGATATAAAGACCGAATGACACGATGCCACGATGGACCATGTGTTACTGCTGACGGCAAGCAGGGCAGGTAGCAAATGACTGCTGCTCTTTGTTCCAGACGCATGCATAAGCGAATATACTATTATGGCGTCCTCCCAATCATTAGATCAGTCGTCTAATGCGCCAAAGTTATCGACATATACTAGCCGACCCATTTTTTCACCCGGATATTCCCTGCCCTCGTCGTGAATTCTGTCTAGCCAAACGCTTGAAAGATTCCAGTGTGGTTTTAATTACGCAACGTGTTACCATAGAAGAGGCTCATTTGTGCAGTGCGTAGCTATCGGCCTCAAGTGTGTGTGTGTGCGTGCTAGGAGACGACTTTCTATTTTCTGCTACTCAAGCCTCGAACTTCGATGTCCTGACATCACTCCCATTGACCACAAACCCCGACAGTTTGGCAGAACGGAGACCCTAGCTCGAAACGCTTGCATATACTGTGAACTTGCGTTCGAGCGTTCGGTGGATATGTGCGCATGTAACCGGTGCCATTTTTAGTTGAGTGTTCACAAGGTTCTGTCTTTTCTTCTTTTATTTAAAATTTTATGGATGCAACATTTTACCATCTTTTCACAAGGTGGACGATCATTGAAAGCGAGTTTGACGAACGCGCGGTCCGCTATCCACACGCAATGACTGACAACCATTTGCAAATACTTTTTTTGTTTTATTTGTATCACAAAAGTTCGAGTGGCTTATGAATCGCGATATGTACCATGTACTTGCTACATCGATTGCACTAACGTTGTTGTACTGTCTGACTGCCTGAACGACGAGCGACTGCTGGGGCTGACTGATCCCTGGCGCCAGCATCTTTGGTGCGGCATTTCACAGAGCATTTATTTGTACAAAGGGAATGCGTGTTGTTCGATGTGCTGGAAATGTAGCTAGTTTGTTAATTGTTAAATTTTTTTTGTTTTTTTTTTTGCTTGAGTTTTATTGCTATTGAGAGTTGTATAGTGGGGGCTCTCTTCCCGCCATTAGATATTTGCTAATATAAGGCGTCCGGGTTTCAGACGTTCTGGCCCTAAATGACGCCCCTCTACTTTTGAATGTTTGTCAATTTTGTTGTAGCAATATTGAATACGGTGTTACTTTTGTTACTGTTGATCGACTGCTTGAATCAATGGGCATTCCTTTCAAGTTGCGTGTGAATGGCATCACATTTTAGCCCGATCTCAAATCATTTAAAAACAGAACCAATTATATGACCTATAGTATATAAGTATAATGCGTTCCTCAAGCTGGTGGTTTGCGATTCCCTGGCTCAATTCTTTGAAATGTAATAGGAATCACAACCGTGTGAATTTTGTCAGAAATTCTTGATTGCGACGAGTAAGTGTGGCGCTTTCTGACTTAGCTATGGTATTTTGCAATCTGCGTCCGCCACCACCTCTTTAAAAACAATCCTGAGATATCAGTCTTACTCCGAGTCGAGTCCGAGGTCATCATTCCTTCACATTTTGCTGCGCCATTTCTCGAAATGTTTGGGCCCACTGTATACGAGGCCTTTTTCTATTTACGTTAATTTGTGTGTCGCTTGACGCAAAAAAAAAAAAAAAAGTCTTTTTCACGTCGCGTTGATCCTACTGTTGAACAATGTATATCTTGAACTATATGCTTCTAACGTTGTTCCCGTTGACACTAATGTCTACTTCGGATGGTTCTTCCTCTTAAACAATATAACGCTGACGACATGGGCGATGTAAAAAGTCGTTTATGAATGAGATTTGAGGATGTGGCAGTGATTTTTTTTTGTCGTTTTTGTGCACACGTCTTGGTATTTTGTGCGGTGAAGGGAATGGAGTCTATCATTTAATTATCAGATGTGGGAATTCTTGACGCAATTTGGGGCGGGAAGCGCCCCACGACTGTTGCGCAATAGTTTACGTCTCTGGTAAAACAGTTCAATACGTATAGGCAATTTATGGTTGCTAGGAATCCCTTTCTCCAGAAGCACTTCGTAGAAAAGGAAGGTACAAGGCGGCTTTTCATCAGGAGAGCCCCATCTAGTCGAAATTAATAGCTGCTTTAAAATTCATGACGCCGCCCCCCCCCCCCCCCCCCCCCCCCCCTTTCAAAGAAAAAAAAGTTTTTTTTAGTTTGCAGCATTATCTGTACAAGATCCCTGAACAACCACGGGCGCTCCGCCAATAATTTCGTGCACGATTAGATTTGGAGAAGCCTGAACACATAGGTATCGTAAAATAGGACCTCACACACGAGAGAGTCTGACGCTTGACACATTCATCGTATAGACACTGTTTCTACCTCGCAGCGACAAACGTGCAGGCGACCAAACAATATTCCTACCAAGAGGTTCTCTACCATTTGTGTCCAAGTGAAATTTTAAAAAAAGAGAAGAGATGGTTATACTTGTAAGGAACGCAGATCTAATCCGAAGGATCGGTTGAACGAAGCTGAGATCTGAAATCCTACCAGAAGAGGTCTCCGATTATTTTTTTTATATAGCTTTCAAACACTGTTCTTTGCGTTACAGAAACAAAAAGTAACGAAATACTTTATTCATTACTTACAAATAAAAGGAACGCGTTGCCGACCTACATTACCTCGGAATAAAAAGAACACGATACCATTACCGTTAAGAAGTAACGCATTACTTTTGCGTCACTTTTTATGCATGGATTCACACGTTTCATTGTTTTGGCTTTACAAGTATGCATAACCGCCACATTTGAAGAAACATTATATCCATCCATAAACTGAACTTTATATTTTTTATTGGCGCACTAAAACCTCCGCTGCTGCTGCGCAAAAAAAAAAATACACACACACACAATTTTTTCTTCTTCTTATCTTGTTTACTGTTCCACCTAAATACTCAGGAAAAAAAACACAAAGAAAAACTTAAAAACCCCTAAATTTTATATGGCTTGGCGCCTAGAAACACAAAACGATTGGTGTATATTCTTTTTTTAAACGTTTCGAAAATATGTAACGAGTAACGTATGTACGTTACACGTTACCGTTTTGAAAAAGTAACGAGTACGTTACTACGTTACCGGAAAAGAAGTAACGCAGTTACCAGTCACGCCGTTACTTGTGACGCGTTACCTCCAACACTGCTTTCAAGGCATGCACTGCGCGGGCTCAGAACACACGAATATTTGTTGTCCAGGAACATATACATTTCTTCAGTTTGAAAAAAAAAAAATATTCTGGTTTCTTTGAACTGTTCTTGTTGGAGATATACCCTGTTCCTTCGGAAAAGAAAAGATGCTCTATGCACCACTTGCTTGGCTCTAATCTATAAAATGGCACGTGCTGAGGGGCTGCATGAAGTAAGCTCTGAAGATCGGAGCGCGTTTGCATTAGGCACTGACCACTTCATAGCTGCGAATATCAGACTACGTACTATTCCGGGACAGATATTGTTTCACAAAGTACACTTACGAATGTCGGACAGCATTTAAGAGCTCCGCTAGAAATGCCAACGAAATGAGAGAAAGGGTCAAATAGTCATATCCCATTAGAAATCATTAATAGTATCAATATCGGGCGTAAGTCCGCGAAACATTCTAAGCTTAATGAGCAATTTAGTTCTCAAAACGAATCGATACGAGTGAAACCCCAACAAAATGCTTAATAAACTCGCAGTAATTGCAAAGTGTGTGGAAGCTATCCGAACCTAATCTACTATACATTTGCGTACACAGGGCAGTTAAGAGTATAGTACGGATGTTCGAGTTCTCGTTGAAATCGGGACTGTGGCTTATGATTTGTCATCACAAGTGCTATTTTTGACCGCAGATCCCTCCCATTAATGAAATTCCCATTGTGCCAAACGCAAGAGCTGTAGCGAATATATGAAGGGTAGAAGAGAGCAAGCAGCCTGGGCGCTCTTGACTAGGAAGAGTCCGCACCTCGAGTCAGCCGCTGCGCGTGCAGACGAACACACTCCGGGTCTGACGTTACGCAGCAGCGGTGGCGCTGGTGTCGGCACGGCACATGCGCGGTAGCTTCACCTCACGCGAGAATGGTTTCTGCGGACGCCCAGTGTGGGCGAACGCGGGTTTAAGTGTAAACAGAGTGTTGGTCTATAGTTGATTGTTACGGCGAAGTTGTTTTTTTTGTGGTGCTTGAGGTACTAAACACTTGCACGTGCGCACCAATAACCCTTGCGCGCTCGTCAGCGCCCGGACCGAGTGACGTATACCGCCCGTCTCTTGTGAGCGTGCTCTCCCATCATGTCTGCCTCCCTGAAGCTGCAGAGAGATGCACAAAGAAGAAGTGGTCACCCCTCCTGTACAGAAGTGCAGGGATCCTGGACTTTCTAACTTCCATCTCAGTGTATAAACATCTTCGAGGTATACGACCTGATGTTTTGACATTTTTAACCCTCGTTGTTTCTCTTCTTGTTACGCGGCATAACTACTCTCTCCACGGAATGCAACTACGACTTCCTAATATATAAATATATATATATAATTATACATGCATCTATAAATAATATACATAATATACATAAATCTATATACATAATAAAGTATCTTTCCTTCTGTAAACCTTTGTCTGGGGCTTTTCATTCTTTCGTCGCGGGCACCATGCAGGGTTTGCCCATCGTGGGAGGATGTTCACTATGAAAGCGCGTATTCTCGTGTCGTCGTCAGCACGTGTTGTGGGGAAAGCAACTTATCGTCTGCCGTGCACAATATTTTTGCCGCTGTGAAAGGAATCTGGTGAGCGCTCGCTGCCAGCACCCGCTTGAGAACAGAGCCAGAAAGCTATGGGCACCAGTAAATAATCCTTTTATGTTGTTTATTGCTCGGCAGTGTGGGTTGGTGCGGGGACAGAGTCCGCAAAAGGGAATCAGCGCCGTATACACGTAGGTTGTATTTTGTGCGTCCCACTTTGCACGGGACACGGTGCACGAGGGTACAACTTTATAAACCTGTTTCTTTTGCGCACGTGTATGAGAAAACATGGAATATGGCTGCACACTTCCGCCTTTGCAGCACGGTGCACGCTAGGCAAGTTGAATGCTAGTGCTCCCTCTGTGGTAAAGTCACTCGATCCTGGGAAAGTAGCGCCATAGCCTTCCCTATCTGCTAGCCGCACACAAACAGATACCAACATACAGACGACAAAAACCTCGCAAGGCGATTGGCTAATCTGTCCACGTTGCCATGGAAATCGCCATCTCAGTTCATTCAAATCTTCGAATCATCGAGAGGGTTGATCTAAACCAGCCGCGCCAAGATCACCATGGAGCATCATCGTACTGGAAGCGTTCCTCGCCAATATAAGCGTCTTTGGCACTGTGCATGCAGTCAACTTATCAATCATGCCGGTCTCCGCGGATCTCTTACAATTATATTGTTCTTCTTGCGTAATTTAAAACAGTAAACTTATATTTCAGTGTCTACAAGCACCGACACAGCATGTGGTGGTGGCACGAAGACGTGCACTTGTTTCGCCGGTCTGTGGATAGCAAAATCCCGATATACAATAAGCGTCTCCATAAAGCTACCCGCCACCAGCGAATTTAGTTCGGCTCACCAAGAACGGAGGGGTCAAGGAGAAATTGCACATTTCACGAACAAACATGGCGACCATACGGGAGCTTGGTGCTGCTTTCCCAGGATCCAGTGACTTTACTTTGTCAATGCCACACAAAGAAAGCGGTACCCTTAAAAAACGGAAAAAAAAAAACAAAGGACAAGGAAATGAGGTAAGGCATCTTCATGCCCTTCGCTTTTTTTTTTTTTTTTGGCGCTATTAATTTTATATTATTATGCGTTAGTCTTTGATAGCTCGATTTTACTGCGCAGAAAATCTTGCGGGTGAAGGGAGGAAAGCACGGACAGGGTACAACGGTACAGCAATTACAGCTAGAAGTTTGCTTACGGGGCGGGGGCTCTATTTGTGCCACTACGCAACATACAAAAAAAAAAAAAAACTTTTGGCGTACATATCAGATTTAACATATCAGATCTATTTCTAAATCTGTCGTCTTAAAAAAAAAACAAAAAAAAAAAAGGAAAAAACACTTATTTATAGGTTTTGAAAATTACCCAAACTAGAGTAACTGCATGTGCCCCGCTTGAGGAGCGAAGTAGCGCAATGGTCCACCCATTATGGGTTCAAGTACTGCGGGAAGGGACCATCGCTCTTGCAACGCAGTTACTTGCGACGTGCGAACTTGCTCACGGTAACGCGGCGGTGCGCGAGTGGTATTGTAAAATCCTTAATGTTGTCGAGCCCTTAATTTTCGCGAATTTCGCGAAATGAAAAATTTGCGAAATTTAAGTGCACGCGAAAATTTCGATCCAAAAAGTTTCAATGTAGGCGTCGGCAATTCGCGAAATTTAATGGCCGCGATTATTTCTTCTGTGATCAATTGGCGAAAAATAGAGGCCGCGAAAATAAAGGGTTTAACAGTAACCCTCTCCCTCAGTAGCGTGCGCGCATGCAGTGTGAATCTCCTGCTCGTCCATGTTCGCCTTAATAACGTCGTTCACGTTAGAAAAAGAACGCAGTTGCACGCTATCTCACTCGTGCAAATAACATTCAAATGTTCACGAAACTTCTTGCTCGTCAGACTTCAGTGTAAGATCTACATTTCGCGAACGCAAAGCGAAGAAAATTCCACTCAAAACTCGGCATTCCGCGAGACCGTTTCCCGCAGCAGTTTGGAGTGTTTCGGAGCATCTGAGCACTTGTCCACTATTTAGGAGTTGAGATTAATGTGCATAATGATATTTATTGCGCGCCCTAAAACACCGGGAAGGATTTTACATATTGACATAACGAAAATTCCTTCCACAGAAAGAAATACTATACAAAAACATGAAACACATAAGTTGCATATCACAGAGCCTAAGTAATAATAAATCATACACTGTTAGCAAGTCCCGTGTATTTGGCGAATATTTGGGGTGAAAAACACGCTATTTACACAAATTACCATAAATTTACACTATGAGTAACGGATAATTCGTTCAGAAATCATGCGGGGTTGTAAAAAACGTGTTTTGGTTCGGTCATACACGCATAACCGTGTAGCCGACCTCAATAACACGCATCGCCCCCGGCGACGACCGCGGCATTGCCGGCTATCGAAGCACCGGAATGCTTGGGGACACACTTAGAAAGGACCGTCGAGAGAAATGCCGCGGAAAGAAACATGTCTCGGAGACAGATATGCACCAAAAGCAATTGCGCCATGTCGCAGGACGTTGGCGAAACCCGCGCTTACCGTGTTTGCCGCCATCTTCTGGTCGATGGCAGTGCGGCTTCCCTCATGTCGCCCATGTTTGTATTTAGTTTAGGGGTCCTGATAACAGTTTCTTAGACACCACAAATAAAGTCATGGGTCTAATTATTCGTTCCAACCAGTTAAAATGGATATAAAAAGCGTGTCCTCGATGTGAACACGTGACATTGCAGTTGGTTTCGTTTTTGCTTTAACCTTCAACTGCAAGCGATCTGGCCACGGCGCAAGCGCAACGCCGATGTACGCTGGAAGCAAGCGCCGGTTGGCTTTCGGTGTTTTTGTTTGACCGGAGAAAATCTGGCAAGTACGCATGGCGCCGCTACTGTTTTGGTTTGACGGGACGCGAGAAGCTTCGCATAGAGCTGATAGAGCTTCGGAGTTTGCGAGCACGTAGTGAAGACGTGACCGGAGAAGTGCCCCTGTGATGTTCCTGGAAGACGGAAAGTAGCATTCGTAATCGTCGTGTGTGCTTTGAAAGCGAAGGGAGTCACAGGGTCCACGAGTTCGCAACCACAAGCCAAGGTTCACGACAGCGCGGCGTTGACTTCGGCGATCTCGTTCTGTTTGGTGCAACCCGGCGATGCGAAAAAGAGCTGAAACATTCGTCGTGTGTGGTGCGGTGCTTTGTATTCCGGGTCTGTTTGAACCACGCTTTTAACACGGAGCGCAA